GGTCCCCTCCTTATCAGCTGCCTGTTTTGTTCTAGGGTCACTTTAGATACCATCACCAGGCAGTGTGAGAAGCACTCAGGAGATAAGGAGGGTGCAGTGTTTGTGGATGGAGGAGCACAGTTCTGCATCCCTGTAGCAACAACACTCCCCACTAAGGCCTGGCAAGTGCCTCTTGTCCTCTCTCACAGTGAGACTCAAGACCTTCCCATTTCCCTGACACATTCTCTGCTATTTACCAGTGGCATGCACGTCCCACGTGGACTTTGGACAACCTGCAATAACACCTGCCCTGTGCCTGGCTGTGCAAAGCTATTTGTTCCCTGTGGAATTACCATGGGACTCCAGGTCTGTGACACGCACCAATTCAAATTCTTCTAATTCCCACTTCCACTGAAATATCCTGGACTTCATTAAAGTCTGTAAAATACCTCTTCTGGTATCAAATTCTTCAGAACATTCCTTCACTCTGGAGCTGTGACTAAAGAAGGCCAAAAGAAAATACTTAAACCAAGAGCTCTCTTTACAGAGGCCCCTCAGCAAGAGGGAAGCTGCTGGGACACATCTTGAAGGATTTGGCCCTTCTAGAGCCGTGGCAGCATTAGAAATGCAAACTGAGGCCAGTCCACAAGTACAGACCTGCTTGTGTGGAGGACCTTGACAATAGTTTTGATGGGCCTTTCCTTCATAGCAGAAACTAGGATTTATTAATTTTAAATAGCTTGTAGTTTTTGAGCACATAGAGCGTGGCTGCCTATGAAACACTATCACGTAGCAATGAAAGCACCCGAAATCTTTATCAGACCCATCTGCCATGAGCAGTTTTGTGCTTTCCTCCAGTACCATCAGAGCTAAAAAAATCTTAAGAGCAGTGTAAAGATATATTTCACAAACAGATTTTGAGTTGCCTTTGTTTTATGACAACCTGTACTGTAAGGAAGTCCTGACAGGTATGAGGAGCTTAAGTGCCTTTGCTGAAATCCTATCCAGATTTAAAATACCCTGAGCCTTAGGCTTATTTAAACTGTCCAAAAAGTAGTTTGCTCCACCAGGTCAAATTAAGTCTAAGGAGAAAAACAACCTCGACAAGATCACCCATCTGTGTCTTCACAGACAAGTATTACACTATGCGCTCAGTTAGGTATTTAACACAATAGTGCCTCTGTACCAAGCTTTTCTTGGTATCCTAAAATATATTTCTTTCAATTTATGGTAAAACACATTTTCTGTGCTTAAATAGACTCATGATGGGAATGAGGGGTATTAATTTTAGTAAACTAAGAATTCTCCTCTTAGGGTTTTCCAGTGTGACTGAGTTTCCAAAGACAATATTTGTATTTCCCTGAAAGGCTAACAGTTCTCATTTACTGGGGAAATGTAGGCTGTACTGTTAATTGGGAAGGGGTGGGGGTGTTCATATTCTAAACCCCACTCTGCTAACCTCTATCTGGTTGTAGTAAATGTAGTCATGAGAAATTCTAGCTTTAACAGGATTTAGTAGCCTTTGTGATTGTTTCATTACTTGCTGAAAGTGTGCAAGACTTTCTTCTCAATGTGAAGTTGTACACAAACTATTTAATTCAAAATGACATTTGTCACAGTAGGGGAAAAAGTGTATTTTGTGTGATGGACTCTTCATTTTATTTTATTTTTTTTTTAATTCTTCAAGTTCTATTTGTCTCTTGTTCATAAAGTGCTGTGATATAAAGGGTCCTATGGCCATTAGTTTCAGTTTGCAATGTTCTGTGCTCTTGCTCACCTGCTTTGCCCGGGAGCACTTTCTTGATTGCACAAAAGCCTCTTGGGCTCTTTGAGCTGGGCTCCCACCGTTGCTCCAGCCTTCGGTCTTTGTCCAGAGGCGTGGATCCAGCCGCCCATCCCGCTGTGCTGTGCCGCCTGCTTTTAGCCGTCAGGTGAGTGGGTGTGAAGGGGTGTGCCTTTGCCAGGGCTTCCTAAGGCTCAGGTTTGACAGCCTGCGCTGGGCAAAGGCCAAGGCACGGAAACACCCTCCCCCTTCTGCAGGACGTGGGCTTTGGAGTACAAAGCAGCTGATCAGAGATAAGCGTGACAGAGAAGAGGGGTGGACTTTACCAGCAGCAGCCGCCAAGTGGGAGGTGTGTTTTAGATGCAATGAGAGGAGAGGGCAGAGTCCCGCTGTGCATTAATCCATGGCGTGTGCTGTGTTTCAGGGCGGTGCAAAGTCAGATGCCTGGACTGGGTGTGAGGCAAGGAGCCACGTCCAGCTGCAATGAGGAAACAGGAACGTGCACAGGTGAGGAAGGGGCCTGGCAGGCTGACAAGTAAATAGCAGGGAGATCAGGAGAACTTGGAAATGGAGATGCTCAGGCTGCATGTGTGTGTATCCAGTGGTAGATTTCTCCTGGTTGACTGGATCTGTAATGCACCAGGGCAGCAGTGTGATTCCTCCAGGCATGGCTGAGGGAGCCCTGCCTCCCACCATGGGCTGGAGATGGGTTTCACTCTGTTCACTGCTTATTTCACCAGCAGAAAACTTGGGAGGATGAGGTTTTCTGGGAGTTTAAAGAGTGGCTCTTCCTCCAAATAACCATGTGGTGTAGAAGCTGTGCAGTGTTAGCAGTGTTAGCAGTCCTAATACCACTAAGGTAATAAACCAGAGTGAATGCACAATGAATCCAGAATGGAAAGTTTAGAGTTTCCTAACAGTTGCCCTGTAATTTAAAAATTGGTGAAACCAGCTTATCTGTGTCATCTCAACAGGCAAGCAAACAGTGATCACAAAATTAGGTCACAACTTATTTAGTTCAGCAGTCTGACAACACTGCTAGGGAGAGAAAAAGGCTCTGAAAAAGCCGGCAGGTGAGGTCTGAAATGGTGTGCAGGGGAAAAAAGAGGCACTTAGGTTTGCGTCATGGAGAAAGGTCAGGAAAAGGCTGTAAGATAAGAATCCCAAGGTAGCACTGTCTTAGCAGCATGGAAGATACAAAGGGGAAAACCTTGTTCTTTGGAAGCTGTTTTTGGAGAAAAAAATATGCCCCCCCCCCCCAAATGTTTTATTCATCTGGGGTTGTTCCTGAGAAGCTCCCTGTACAGGAAAGCTCTGGTGGCATCCCTGACATCCCCTGTCAACAGGGTTCCTTTTAGGAGCTCCTAGCAAAGGCTTGTGGAAGGCTTGAGGGATCCCTTTCCCAAGGGAGCCTAGTGCACAATGTGAATAGCAGCAACAGCTCTAAATGTGGTGGAAAAGGCTTCATTGCTTTCCCAGACAGCAGCCACTTTGTGTGTTAGTGTGACCTAGAGTATAAACCCCAGCTGGATAGAAGAGGAAGGGGGATACACAGGATTCCTCCTGCTGTGGAGGGGTCCCAGAGGGCCCTCCACATTCTCATGCTGGTGGCTCAGAGGCCACTTCACAGCTGAATTTCTTAAGAGTTCAAGATGGTGTTTCATCTCAGAGAGGAATGATCATTGACAGGACACCGCTTTGGTTTACTGAACTCTTTCCCTGTAAAAGGAGAGAAACAGGTTGGGAAAAGGCCGCAACCTTCCGTGGCCCGAGAGTCAGGCAGAGGAGCTTCCCTTGTGCAGGAAAAAGTTCCTCCCTCAAATAAACCCCAAGCAAAGTGGAGACCTCAATTAGTGCTTGAGCAAGGACTCGAGGCATTCCCTGGCACGCGTGTTATGCAAGGGTCAGGTTCTGCTGCCCTTGTTCCTGTTCCTCCCCGAAACTGCAGGCATTCACACACATGCCTAAAATGCATGAGCGCTCCCACCTCCTGCTCTGCTGTGCCCCAAAGCCTCCCACTGAGGCTGAGACAGCAGACCCAGTTTCACTGGTCTTCACCTGGTCACCCAGCAGCAGCAGCAGCAGCAGCAGCAGCCTAGCAGTGCTGGATCCCTGTCTCATGTATCTTAGCTCTCCTCCTGACTCCACAGAGGATCTATAGGAGAGACAGATTAGGTGCAAGATTAACTTGTTGCAATTTTTGACACTTTAGAGGCTCATATTTATGCTGAATCAGAGCAGAGTACATTATAGGACCCACACAATCACTGAGATTCCTAAAGACAGTTTGTTTTTTGTAAACTCTGAGAAATTACTTCAATGGACATCTCTTGACTACACTTGGCCCACCAATCCCACCTGCCCTCATCAAATAAACACCTAAGAGGCAATTTAGGGAAAATGCAGCTCTGGTCATGAAACTGCCTTTCCTATGCAAGGTTGGGACCTATACTACAACACAGCTCCTTTTCTGCCCAACACAGACTCCTGGCACAATGCTTTCCATCCCAGGGTGTGGGAACAGGGCTCTAGTCACAACATGGGTACCACTTCCTAATTCTGTGGTGTGAGGAGAGCAACCGGAGGTGCAGGAATGAGAGAGCAGCAGGGCAGCCTCGGGCAGCTGTGGAGGGGAGCAGGACTGTGGTGCTGCCCTGCATTCCTTTCAGCACAGAATGGTGGGCAAGGTGGCCTGGGAAACGCCTTTCCCTACTCACTGGAAGGCTGGATCTTGATCAGCTGCATTTTTAAAAGAGGGACTCATCCTTAACCTGCTGGGATTAAAAAGGGATGTAGTTTTACTACTCCCCAGAATTTAGGTGGTGTAAACAAGTGTTTTGCAAGCCCCAGGACCAACAACAATCTGTCACTGTCAGCAAAAGGAAGTGCTCTACCCTGATTCGGGCCAGACTCCAGCCTCACCCCAAAGCCATGGTCCCACTACTGCTGGTGGCCATGGCTGCACCCAGCAGCTGGTCCTGGCCCTGTGGGCTGCAGAGGACTTGCCTTCTGAGGGTTCTTCCTGCTTCCAGCAGAGTTACTGCATCCTTCTCTGGTAGAAAAGCAAGAAATGGGAGAGAGGGCAGAGAGGCTCAGACAACAGTTCATTGGAATAATTTAAATACATTCTTCAATAGGTTCAGTCTGTTTCACAGCTTTTGTTCTGCCTGTGTGGCTTCCTCTCTCAGGGTGGCCACCAAGGTCCCATCTCCACTGGCAGGGGATGCGGGGAGCAGTCTCAGTCACTGTCACTGCCGGATGGGTGGGACACTGCCCCACGCCCGAGCTGCACACGGAGGCAGGCAGGCAACGCTGCCCTGCCGGTGGACGGCGAGACCTTGCTGACAGAGGACACACGGCGGGCCAGGGGCTGCGTAGGGAACATGATTGTGCCACGGGGTGCCTCCAGGAGCTGCCAGATCTCTCCCGAGGTGGAGCTGCCCAGGTATTCCCATGGCTGGCGCCCGCTGCCATCCCGCACCTGCACCTGGCACCCCAGCTGCAGCACCAGCACCTTGATGACCAGCTGGTGGCCGTGTATGGCAGCCAGGTGCAGCGGCGTGTACCCGCAGCCCGAGCGGGCGTCCACGTCCAGGGCCAGCCCGACCTGCTGCGCCGCCGCTGCCAGCTCCTGCAGGCCCGGCCCATCGCCGTGCTTGGCCAGCCAGTGAAGGACGGTGAAGCCTGATATGAAGTCCCTCTGCAGGGCCAGCTCAGGCTCTTCCAGAAAGAGCCCTCGCACCTGAGCCCAGCAGCCTGCTGACATTGCCACCAGCCAGGTGTGCTCCCGCTGTCCCAGTGGCACCACAGGCCCCCGGCTTGAGGCGTTCCTAGGGGAGCTCTTGGGGAGCATGGAGTGGGGCTGCCGCCCACAGTCATCGTGCGCTGAGGCAGGGGTGCCCTGCAACTCCGACAAAGCGAGCTGGCACCTGATGCTCCGGAAAACAGGCAGCGGTGCCGGAGGCTGGCTCTCCGAGGCTTGGGGCACTGTGGGGCCCTGTGCTGGCAGCAAGGACTGGGATGGGGGTGACCTGGCAAGGGGTGGCTGCAGGGAGCGGGATGGGGACGGGAGAGAGGCAGACCATGGCAGGGATTGGGGTGGGGGGGACCTGGTGGTGGGCAGGATCTCAGGACCTGACTGCAGTGTCAGGCTTTGACATGGGTGCAGTCGCAGGACTTGAGGTTGGGTTGGTCCCTTGGGGGTCAGCCCCCTGGATCCCCTCGGCAGGTCTGGGGATGGCCTGGTGGGGAGCTGCTGCAGGGACCTGGACTGCGATGGGAGCAGCCTGGTGGAAGCGAGCATCTCGGGGCCTGACAAAAGCAGTGGCGATGAGGGGCTGGCAGGGAGTGCCTGCAGGGACCGGGACAGGGGCAGCACCTCCGGGGCGGACAGCAACGGCAAGGATCGGGATGGGGGCAGGTCACGGGGGGACAGCGCCCTGGGGCCCGATGACAGCAGCGGGGACGGGATGGGTCCGGCGTGGGGTCGCCTCCCCGGGCTTGCTGAGGGTCGAGGGGCCTTCAGCAGGGGCATCCCAGTCACCGGCTGCGGCGGAGATCGGGGCTGAGGCAGTCTGTAGGGAGGCGGCTTCTCCGGGCCCGGTGGCAGCGGTGGCGTCCGGGACCGGGGCGCTGTGGCAGAGGGCAGCCCGGCGGCAGGCAGCGGCGGCGATAAGGACCGGGGCAGCACCGCGGGGGACAGCACCCCAGGATCCGACGGCAGCGCGGGGGGCTGGGGCCGCGCTGTGCCGCCGGCACGAAGCGCCCAGGGGCCCGAAGACAGCGGCTGGGTCCGGTACGGGGGCGGCTGCGGGGGGGGCGGCGGGGAGCGGGAGCGGGGCGGCCGGGGGGCGGGCGGTGTCCCGGGGCCCGGCGCGGGGACAGCGGCGGCGGCGGCAGCGCGGCGCGCCCGGCGGCACTCGCAGCACGGCCCCCCGCGGCCCCGGGCGGCGCAGCCCCCCGCCCCGCCGGGCCGCCCCTGCTCCGCCGTCTCCCCGTGGGGGCCGCGCCGCCCGTCGGGGTCGCGTCGGGGCGGCGGCGGCTCGTTCTTTTCCTCCTCCTGCTCCCGCTGCTCCTCCGGAGGTGGCAGCTCCTCATCGAGGAGGTCGCGGTACCTGCGGCGGAGGACGATGTCCTTGGAGGCGCCGGGGACGGCGGCGGGGTGGACGGTGGCCAGGGAGTTGACGAGGCTCTTGAAGTACTCGCGGCGCTCCCGCCGCTGCTGCTCCGTCAGCGCCGGGTCGCGGAGGAACCGCTGGAAGTGGCGGAGCAGCGCCGTGTTGGGGGCTCGCCCCCCGGCCGCCCAGAGGAAGTCCAGCACAGCCTCCTGGCTCAGCTCCCGCGCCATGCTCCGGGCCGGCCGGCTTTCGGTGCTCGGTGCTGTGCCTCGGTGCTCGGCGCTGCACCCAGGTGCGGCGGGGAAACCCGCCTCCTGCCGCGCCGGGCCTCTCCGCCTCCTCCTCCTCCTCCTCCGCGGCCGGGCCGCCACCCCACGGTCGCCTTTGCCCGAGGTGGTGGCCCGTGGAGGTGCGAGCTGGGGTGACAGCGCTGAGGAGAGGTGACACCGAAGGAGAAGCAGGCTAGAGGGGCGGGAGGAGCTGAGAAGTGCGAGGGTCCTTTGCTAGCGGGCAGTGAGACCAAAGAGCTGCTTATCAGTCGTTGGTGTCAGTGAACGGACAGGATATGATAGGCAGAAATTGAAATTCCATTTGTGTGTGAGGGAAAACTATTTTACAGTGAGGGTGGTCACCTGTGGGAACATGTTGGCTGGAAAGGGTAGGTGTCCATCCTCAAGGATATTCAGTGTGCCATGAAACTTCTAAACAGCAGAGATGCCTCCCAACCTGAGCTGCCCTGTGGTGCAGTATTAGGCAAACTGGCAGTACAGATTTACAAGTGTGTTGTGGTTTGGGGTAGCTGTTATTACAAGTGTGTATGATTGTACCTGTGTACGACAACCACACACAAACAACCACGGGTGTTTGCAGTCAAATCGTATCTAACCACATCTCATCTCTGTATTTGTTGCGTGGCTAAGAGAGGTTGGACACACGTTGTACTGTTGTGAGGATCTCACTTTGTTCTGGACTGCCCATGCTGTTACTACAAGTGTGTACATTCAGCTGAGAGGAACAGGTAAGATTAGTGCCCCCCTGGGCAGTGTGCCCTGTGCACACCAAAAAAATTACAGACCCTGCCCCAGCAGTCTGAGGACTGAACAGTGAGTAAAAGTGCAGGAGAGAAGGTGTGCTGGATTTTCTGTCTTGCAGTTAGAGAATGGAGAGACTGAGCTCAGTGTGGGCTCCCTGGCTTAAAGAGGTCTGGATCAGGCCTTAAGTCACATTTCAGAAGCCATCTCTACTGCAGGCTCCTGGCTATCCATAAATATTTTTAGCTGCCTGTCATGTAAGCAGCTGGAATATCCTGCAGCCTGCTGCAAACACAGAAGTGTGTGCAACCCTCAGAAACCCTGAACAGAGATTACAATAGATGCTGTGTACAAGCTACATCCCATCAGCGGTGTTCATCTGGATAGGGTGCAGGTGCTGGGGAGAGAGTAAGGCTCACTTTAGTATTTTATCACTTTGCACATTCCTTTGGTGCTGTTCTCCATGCCATGCATTTCTCCCTCCTCTTCTGATGAGCCCTGGATTGCTGTCACAACAGCATTTGTTAGCAGCATTCTCTCAGCAGAAGCAACTGAGAGGAAATGAATGGAGCAGAATGGTTGTAACTGTGATCACAAATAAGAAAGAAGAGTAGATTGCAAAGATAAAAAAGTCCAAATAAACAACAGTGGGCAAACTGGTGGTACACAGTTTGTGGAATTGGGAATGGGGCTGCTGCCAAGCCTCATCCCCAACGGGCTACAGCTGTGCTAAGCAGGTGAATGGCATTGAAGGTAACGAGACAGGGAGTGCCCAAGTGTGCTGACCAGTCACCGAAGGGAACAGAGGGCACACAGGTGCAGTGCATGAACCATGAGGTTATAAAAGGTTGGGCTAAAAAACAAGGCAGACTGATGCTTGAAGCTTTTGGAAGTCGTATGGTGTTATTCTGTATGGGTAGAAGCCTCCTGAAATGGTATGATGCTACTCTGTGTATTGTGGCTTTGTAAAATGATGCTTAATATCTTGGGAAATATTGAAACAGTTCCAGTAGGGGTCTCTGGAATGAGGGGCTGGCAGTTCTCTTTGCCTGGGTGTTGATTTATTAGCAACAGATATGAAATTTTGAGGAACAAGGTGTTGACCACTAGCAATTGCAGAAAGCTGCACTAGCTGAGGTCTGGGAAGATGGCAGACTATTTCTTTATGCTGCTGTTTTTCTGCCCCTGCTCTTTCAGCACAGATGGCCATACCCAGGAAGGTGTGTGTGCATGAGTATCGTGGAGGAAATGCAGCCACAGCTCTCCCAGCCCCGGGCCAAGGAAGGACACGGTGAGTCATATCAAGGTGTTGTGAGCACAGGAGATTTTAATGTTGGTTGAGTTATGCTGATGTAGGAGTATCATGCATGTCTAATGCAGACGAGGGGAAGCTGTCTGCCTCACCCACAGGTGCCACGAGGGCAGCTCTTTAGCTAGGATCACCAGGTTTCCACTAGAGGCTGCACTGGTCCAGGCGCATTTCCCAGTACAGGCTGGCTCAGCACCTCCTCACCCGGAGCTGTGCGTGCAGGAGGAATTTGCTACAAGAGCAGTAATGAGTCTAACGCTGAAGCCTCCCTCAGATATTGGCATTAATGTCTAACATGTTAGAGTGATGAAAACACTGCATTAGCTATGCTTGCCAAATGTTCCTAGTAAGACACCCTTGCATGTCTTTTGGTGCAGCAGCTTTGCTGGTGAGGGCTGCACCTGTGCCCAGCTGAGGGCACTGCCCAGGTATAGAGCCTCACTGGTTCTGGCTCAGGCTGGGGGTGCAGGAGCTGGCGTGTATGACCCTTTGCCAAGATCAGCTGCTGAGTTCTTCAAAACATAGTCAAAAAAGCTATAGGAAGGAGATACCTGGACTCTGTAGCCCTCTTCAAACAGCCATGTGTTACTATGTAGCCATACAGAAATGGCTTTTGGAGGGAAAAGGTACCAGCTTGACATCAAAGGGACTACAAAATGGTAAGTGTACTGCAGAGCTCTGTTTGCTTACCACTACCTTGGGTCATTAACCTGTGCTCTCAGTTTTTATTCTTCTGGATCTTTCTTTTTGATTCTGTGGATGTTCTTATATGTGTCCATAATTCAGTGTATCCTTCATGTGTGCAGCAAATAAGGTCTCTTGCCTTCTGTAGCTCTTTGGGATTTTATGTCTCACAAAGCAGTGCAGAGCCCTTTCTTCATGACTGCCTTGGTCAAAGATTGGCAAAGTTTGGCTTAGCCCTAAGAGTCCCCTCCTTTTTTAGATAAAGGGATATTATGCTCAACCTAGGATGTTAAATGCTTGTCAGCTGGAGTGGCAGGTAACCAGCTTTGCTTCACTTCAGCCCTGGAAGTCATTTAGTGGAGCGGGGGTGTAGGCACACAGTTTGTGGAATTGGGAGTGGGGCTGTGGCCGAGCCTCATCCCCAATGGGCTACAGCTGTGCCAAGCAGGTGAGCAGCATTGAAGGTAACGGGAGTGCCCAGGTGTGCTGACCAGTCACCAAAGGGAACAGAGGGCACACAGGTGTGATGCATGAACCGTGAGGGGGTGTAAAAGGTTGAGTTTAAAGAACAAGAAGGGCAGCTGCTTGCAGCCGTCTGAAGTGGTGTGGTGTTACTCTGTATAGGCTGAAGCTCTCTGCAACTGTATGGTGACACTGTGTATTGTGGCCGTTTCGGCTGTGACATGGGAGAGCAACTGGCCGCTACGGCTGCTGTTCGGTATACCAAGTTTGTTGAAAAACTGTGTGTGACAGAAGTGCTCGGAGAAACAAGAGGAATGAGGTGACAGGTTTTGTCCTCTGTATTACACAAGGGAGTTAAGGGCTCCTGTGTGCCTCCTTGTTAGAAATACCTCTTTGCCGAATTCCCGCGCTCCTTCTTCACCTAACTGCTGCTAGGAGGACGTCGCCGAGCGCTGGCTTGGCCGTCTCTTTGGAGCAGATGTGTCTGTGCGTTCAGATGTGGGGCTGCCAGGGTGGGCGAGAGAGACCTTTCGAGGTTAGGGGGACGGGTACGCGGCCCGGCGTGGGGGGCGTGGGCAGGAGAGGGATTAGTGGAGGGTTACCGCTGGGCACTGACTGCAGCCCCCGGGGCTCCCGCGGACTTTCGGGGTTCCCCGAGCGGCAGGGCGGCGCCGGTCGCCCGCCCGCGCTGCCCGGCGGCCCCGGGGGAGGGCCGGGGGGGTCCCGCCTCGCCGCCCGGCCCCTTTGCATTGCGCATGGGCCCTCCCCGCCGGGTGGCCATGTTGCAGTGCTAGCAGGCAGCGCAGAGGCGGCGGGCGGCAGCGCAGCGCAGACACCGCACCGCGATGGCCGTGGCCGTGGGCAGACCGGCGGTGCGCGGGGCCGGGGGGCGGCGGGGGCAGCGCGGGGCCGGGGCCGGATCGCCCGAGCGCGGCGGCGGGCGCTGCCGGGGCGCAGCGCCGGGGATGCCATGCCGGGGGCTGCGGGGGCGCGATGCCGGGGGGCACGGTGGGCTCGCCGCCTCTGCCCTTTTCCGGGGCCGGGAGAGCCCGCGCAAAACTTTCTTTGGGGCCGCGGCTCGTGATTGCGGCGGGGCCGTGGCGGCGGCGGGCAGCTGCTCCCGGAGCCCCGCGGGCGCGGGGAGACGGCGGGGGTGGTCCCGGGTCGTGCCCGCCGCCCGTGGGGTGTTGGTGCCTTGCCGCGGCTGTTTCTGCCCCGCCGCTGGCCGTGGACGGGACAGGCTGAGAGCGGGAAGGGCTGTGCCCCGCGCGGTGGGACGGGCCCGCGGTCCCCGGGAGGCTGCGGCGGGCGCGGCACCGCAGTCCCGGCGTGGAAGTGTTCCTGGGGCAAGCGTGTCCTGCATTTTCCAGTGTGACCGTTTTTCTGGGGATGTGGTGGTGGAGAGGCTTTTTAGGTTCGTATTGAGAAAGACAAAATATTTCTCCCTGACAGGGAGAAAGTGTAAAAAACCTCAAACCCACAAAAGCTAAAAGATACCGAAAAAGAAAAGGAAGTGTCTCTTGCATCCAGCTTGCAGGAACATGAATGAAACTCCACCGTGACCGGACTGAATGCGCTTTTGTGCATCGTCGGCCAGGGGAGGGAGAGACTTGACCGACTTCCCGGTAACTTTTTCAGTGCTTGGGAGTAACATATAAGTTGCCCACAAGTGGGGAGCTAGATTGTGACTCCGTCTCAAAATAAGAAAATGGTCTGCGTTCAAGATGTAGCCAGGATGAGACCA